AGAGCCGTAGTTATAGGCAAAAGTAAAGCAGGCTTTAATGATAAACACCCCAGTTCAAAGAAAAAAATGATACAAAAAAGAAGGCAGTTTCATTACTACCATTTTTTTGATTATAAAGCAGATTTTTGACATTTCTCCAGATGTAAACATTAAGCATAGCTTTGCCACATTGAAATTTTTTGATAGGGGAGATTTTCTTTTAAATATTTGGGAGTAAAATTTACATACAAACAATTGATGTGTTCGATAATCAAATTTTAACTTTTTTCTCAAGCGTTTAAAAGATCCTTTGAATAATATCGATGTGCAGAGATGAAGAAATAAAATAAAATCTAGTATTGAAATATTTATTTATTAAAAATTTACATAACAAAACTCTTTTTTTTTTTTGTTAAATAGTCCGAAGAAGATGTATTTATGATATTTTGTCATTAAAGCATAGTCCGAAACCAGAATTCGAACACAAAACCTCTAAAGATTGAGCAGCATTTTGGCAATGTAAACTGGTCTTTGGTAAAACGTGGGGTGTGTCACCATAGGGAATCCTCTGGATTTATACCTCTATGATCAAACCCATAATTAGCTATGCGTCAGTGGTATGGTGGAGCAGATTCTCAATCAAGAGCGTGGGAGGTCTGCTTGCAAAACTTCAAAGAACTACTGCCGTGTGCGGTACGAAAGATTTCCCTACAATATGTGGTTGATGCACTGCTGCACTTACCGTCATTAACTTTTCTCTTGGCAAGTATGCTTCGGTCTTCCAGGCTGAGGTATTTGCAATCCTCAAGGATATGGACTACGTGGTGGAAAATATGAGGAGCGGAATGAGTTTGCGTGACGGCCAAGCTGCACTTAACACACTACTTACTTCCAGACTCTGAGTGCCAGTTCAGTCGGGAGTACCTCCTCCATAACTATAATATTTATCATATCATGAATTTCAATTTTCGTTTTTGCGCATATCGAAGACAAATTTCTTTTTAATTTTGTGAATATATTTTTTTTACAATAAATAAATGATTATTGAGGACTAGGTATGGTAGCACGAAATGTCACAATCTGCATAATTATCAGGTAGTTAATATAGCTCCCGAAAAGTGACAATGAAACTACCTTTTTTTGTATCAAGATTCTAACTTTGTTATAATCAAGTTAAAATTCTTTTAACTTTTGAAAGAGGTTTTAAAATTAAAATTGTGAGAGCGTGTTTTTAAATTTTAAGCTGTAAAAACACGAAGAGGCTCCTGGTATGCGGCGTGCAGCCTGTCGAAATAAAATTCGTGTAAACCAAGACTAGTGGCATTGGATCAAAAACAACAATTGCGTGTATTTTGTTGTCGCTTCTGGTATCGAAAGTGTCAAACACTGTTCTGATTTTTTTTCTTCTAAATCAAAGCGTGCGATGTGAAATACAAAAAATCAAAAATAAAACATTGAAATTGGAAAAATAAAAATTGTTGCAACGTTCTTTCTTTGTAAATTTGTTTGCTTCTCGATGCATTGATCCATCCTTTGCAAGGCCCAGTAATCAAAGGCTTGATAAGCAAAGGCTTAATAAAATTATGACATTTCATTAAATTCATGCTACCTGATCACGAGCAGTAAATTTTTTTTTTAAGCAGAAGATTTCATCAGCCCACTCAAAGATGTCGAATATGATGAACTTGAAAATTAATGCATAATACTTAATTAATGCATAATACTTATGCTAATTGCTTATCGGAGGGCGATCTGCGCAAGCCGAATTCAAGTTGGAAATTTTTGATTCGAAATTTGTCGAAGTTAATGGTGATCCGCTAACCACAAAGCCTATTTTTTTGCAAAATCTGATGAGAAATTTTAAAAGTAAATTTTCACGAATTTCATGTGAACAAATATTCCCAAAATTATAAAGCAAAACAAAGATAATTGTTCCCAATTTGGTTTTGTTTTGCATGTTAAGTTATGAGAACAATTTATTCACATGGAATTGGCGATTACAAAAATATTTATTTGGAAAGAGCATTCTTTAGAATTAGAGTTTTAAATCGCAAGGTTGCATTCAAAATAAGAAAATGAAAAAAATAACAACATAATGCTCTCGTGATTTTTATTATAAAATAAAATGAACAATTTCAATGAAGTCTCCTTTAACATTACATATTTTTAATAAAAAAAAGGTGGGAACCACGTAAGTTGAAAAATTACCATGCACTGATAATGATTTTTGATTTGAAATATTATTAAAATGGTATAAATGGAGGAAAGAAAATACTCCGATTTATTGTTTTAATATTATCAAAGTGACAAGGCCGTTGAGAATACTCACAATTTATGAAACTTCAAAAAATTGTATTATCCGTCAAAAGTTGTTTATTGATACTACCTTCTTTTTTGTATAATGGAATTTTTGTGAAAAAAAATTAAAAATATTTCACATTTTCGAGGCCAAATAATTTGAAAAAAAAAAACAAAAAAATCAAATCAACTGCTCTACTATTTCTACCTGTTCAATGTGCCACAACCCACAACACAAGCCAAGAAATTTTCTCGAAAGTTTATTGATTTTTTTTTTTAAGTTGCACAAATGTTGAACCTTGGTTTTATATGGGTTATATTGAGGTATAAACTAAATAAAATAAAATATAATGAACAAGTAATTAAAATTAAATAATACTAAGATAAATGGTCAAACCATGTCAATATGTGAGTGTCGTAAAGTTTTGAGAAGGTGGAAATGATATTAACATGTCAAGTTTTAGTACCAAATACAAAGAAGATGTGTCTTTTATCCATTATTAGGCGTGTTTTTTTACACGTATACGTATCTACGCTTAAAAATTGTATGGAGCTCTGAGCAACAAACTTTATGTGCACTTATGAATAGTTGTCGATAAAATCAAAATTACTTGTTTTGAAATGGAAATTGTCGATAATTGTTCTTTTACACGTTAAGCGTAGATGTACATTAGAGTGGTCCAAAAAAATTAAGTTAGAATTTTAATGCCGGCACCCCCTAGGTTTGTTCTATATCGAAAAAATATACCCCTATTTTTTTATTTTGAAATGCTCAAAGCGAGCAAAGTTTTCCATGTATTTTATATGGAGAAAAAACCATTTTTCGTAGAAATGGTATAAAACTCTTAAAAATCAATATTTTTCAATCGGAAAACTGTGGTTCTCTTCAGGAGACTTCCAGTATTAATATCCAATTATTTATTTAACCATTTTTTATGATTAAAGATTTTTCCATTGCATATTCCAGGGGTTTTTGAGGACCTATAAAATATAGTTACTATGAAAAAATGGTTAAATAAATAATTGGATATTAATACTGGAAGTCTCCTGAAGAGAACCACAGTTTTCCGATTGAAAAATATTGATTTTTAAGAGTTTTATACCATTTCTACGAAAAATGGTTTTTTCTCCATATAAAATACATGGAAAACTTTGAGCGCTTTGTGCACTCCCTATTTTTATTTTTATTTTTTCAAAATATATATTTATTTTTTTTTATAGTATATTTTCTTCGATATAGAACAATCCGAGGGGGTGCCGGCATTAAAAATCCGACCTTATTTTTTTTTACATACATTTTTGGACCACTTTAATGTACCTGCGGGTAAAAAAAAACAGGGCTATTATAGATTTAAAAATAATTTTTTTGTTAAGAAGTGTACATGAAAATATCTGTTTAATATGAAAGTGAATTATTTGAAAATTGATATTTTATGGGAAAACGCAATCATAGTTTGATCAATTCATACAGTTGGTATTCAAAAAGATAGATAGAAAGACCGATATCTTCACCATTTTTATTAGGAAGCTAAGTTATTTGTTAAACTGAACATATTCCCCTTATCAAAGTTATCAGTTGTATGATACAATTCCCAAAAACGTAAATTTTGAATTACTTATCTATATTATTAAACGTGCACCATATTTATGTTAAATTAAGGACACATTAGGGTGCCCATCGAAAAGTTTTTTTTTGGAATTTTAAGATCCTACCCCCTAATTTTATTAGTTTTTATGAGAAATATTATTGCCTATCTCATGTTTTGAATGGTGGGATGAGAAATAGGCAACAATCCTCAATGGCAACAAAGGGGCGATTCACCAATTTATCGTCGTGGTGACAAATCGGCAACATCATTTTTTCCATGTCAAGAAATAAGTTCTCAAAAATGCCCAAACTTATGAATTTGGCGTCAACAGTATTGTCCAAAAGCATCTAAATTATGTCCAAAGATAGGATTGAGAAAATAGGAAGCCCCATAGCGAGAGAAGGAATTAATTCTGCTTGTAAGTTCCAATTTTGTATACAAAAAATAAACTAAGTGTTAACAAATATAAAACTATTCCAAATATCGCCTGTAGCAATAATAAAGCTATAAGAAAACGACTCATTCAGTTCTTAAGGCAGATTCATCGTTCTAATTCTGAGCTTTTTCTTCCTTGTGGTTGTTATATTTCTCTCTTTGTGAGAGAAACGCAACACTAAAACTAAAACGATGAATCCGCCTTTACGGTTTACACGTATTTTATTTTGACAGGCTTCACGCCGCACACCACAAGCCCCTTTATGTGATTAATAATAATAGATTGGCGCTTACACATATGTTAGTGTTTGGCCGAGCTTCTCCTCTTGCGCCTTGATGTTGTCACACAAAGCGGAGGGACCTACAGTATTACGCCGACCCCGAACGGCGATTGTATTTTTATGAGAAGCTGTTTTTCATGGCAGAAATACACTCGGAGGTTTGCCATTGCCTGCCGAGGGACGACCGCTGTTAAGAAAAAAACTTTTTTCTATGTTTTTTTTTCGATGTTGCTTTGACCAGGGCTTGAACCCAGGTGTTGTGGAGTGGAAGCGCGCACTGCTTAACACTACACTACAGCGGCCGACAACAGTGATTACAGCTTCTAAAATTAGCTTCTTACAAAAGCGTAGTCTATCAAACGACTCGATTTTCAAAAGTCATTTTAAATAAAACCTTTTTTATGCTTCAAAACTACAGGATGGTGGAAGCCAGTATACCCACTATATCATCACTACATCTGCTCTCAGTAGTCAACCACATACACGCTTCATGCGTCGCGAAGGTGCAAAACGATAATATACTCAAGCGGGATCAAAGCTTGAGTTACTGGTCACAGGTGATATCTATAAACATTAAAATATTAACAATAACTATAATAATTCGTATGATCTTCAAATGAAAATTTAACCTTTAGGTGCATTCCAATTCGAAGCGTTCAACCACAGAGCGTAACTTGCAAGGTCCCGGGGACTCGTTTTTAAGTGATGTCTATGAAGAGAGTATATCTACAAAGACACAAGGGTTGATTGTACTACCAAAGATCAGCATCACAATGTTGCAGTCGTCTATCATTGAAGAGGTCATATCTGTTGCAGCGTTGGATAATGTACAGGTAAATCCATTTTTTTAGCCATCCAATGTTGTAGTAAAATTGTTCTTTTTGCAGGATCTGAATTGCGTTTCTTTACTTACATTTTACATAGAAGGTGTATCGACCAAATTCCATTTAGGTAAAACAACTCGCGCCTCTATGCACAACGTTTATATACAGCAAACTGTGCAGTCGGGCAATAGCCACAAAAAAGGGGGCATAATGAAGGGTACACGGGCTCTCCTAGCCCATTTGTCTTCACAAACGCGTCCGGACAACATACAGGGCGAACCTATACTAATCGAAACGTCCGAAAAGCAATTGGAAGAGTTGGTAATTACACTCGATGTAGGTCGTGCACATGCGCAGTTGCGACGGCTCAAAACAGAGTCGAGTTACGGCCAGGAATCTCCTATCATCGTTACCGCCATACCAGAACATAAAAGTAAAGTACTATTCGAACTGCTCAAAATGTCCGAAAGTATGGGTGGCATTGACGGTATCGGTTATATAATGTTTGAATGCGGTTTGGAGGGCGTGGGCGTAAAAGTTGTTAAACGTTCACATTTTGAAAAATCGGAAAATACTAAAGAAGATCTGGCTGAAATCACAGAAAGTGCAACAGAGGCAGCGGATATTCCGCGTGGAGTAAACATAAGTGATATAATGGGCGGTGTAAGTGCAGATGTTACTGCAACATCGAAAGCAGAGGCTGCGTGGCGCTTGATTACCAAAAAGCCACCAACACCTAAAACGCCAAAAGAGAAATTCCAAACAGCTTTGGAAAGTATAATCGTGCCAGAACGTTCAGAAAGTGTGAGCGAAAACCGCAAATCTACTTCGAAACCACAAACCGATGAAGATCCGGAAAAGGGGGGTAAGAATAGTAACAAGGAATCTTTCGAACAGAAGACACCAAATGTAAAAGAAACAGAGAAAAACTCCTCATGTGTAATTGAATTGAAATCAGTATGGTTCAATTTCGCGGCCCCTCCTTGTGTACCTATTACACGGAAAATCGATTTAACCAGGTGAGCGTGGTTATGCTTAGTATATTTCTTAAAACATCGCAATTTTTATAAACCTTAAGACATTGTATCCGGTAAATTCAGCTCGATATCTTCCATAATAGCCCATCAAATTTAATGAGTGAAATACCATTTTGAAGGCCTGCTTCACCGCTAATGCAAACCTTTTTATAGGGTTTCCACCTGTCTAAAATTTTGGTAAATTAAATATATATGTATCTAAAGTACAATATTCCAACGCGTTTAGTGAATCAGAGGTATTTAAATTCGCTCTTATCCAGGAGTAATAATTTTGAAGACTGTTGCAAACTATCTTAAAATTTAAATCTCGCCTGGGTAAAATATTGTCGTGAACGCCATTTTGACGATTTTGAGTTATAGATGCAGTTATATTTTCGTCGTAGACGATCGTCGTGGGTAAAAGATTGTCGTAAGCGCCATTCTTCGATTGGTGTTATCAGTTTTTAGATAGTTTCCGAGATACTGACTACAACTTTTCCGATAATTTAGTAAAAACTTAGTTGGTGATGCAGTCATATTAAACTAATCAATATCTTAAAAATGGCGTTCTCCATTTTTGGATATCTCCTTTAGTTTCCGAGATATTGAGTAAAAAGTGTCGTTAATTTGGTAGGAAATTTTGATCACATTTTGTCGTATTTCATACAAAGTGGCTGCCAAATTGTGGACAGATGACGCTTACGACAAAATTTGACTAAAGAAAATCCTTCATAAACTCAAAACTAATTAACTATAAACATTAAAAATTAAATAATTTAGTAATTTTGTGAACTAGGAACATTTTCAGAGACTTTGGAGAAAATCTATCTTCGCGTTTTGAAGAAATTGCATTCCAAACTTCAATCGCGATTTCCTACAACCTGCCGAAATTAACATATGACAATCTTTTACCCAGGCGACGATTTTTTTAAAATAAGATCTTTCGGTTGGTGTTATCAGTTTCTCGATATCTCGCATATTCTCCGAGATATTCAGTATGATATTGTCGTATATCCAAGGTGAATAGCGGCTTTTTCCTTTTTTGTTGTATGTGTGTACGGTTTTGCACTTACGACAATTTTCCCATGCGAATTAAAACATTGCAATGCTTGCAAATCCAAGAAATTACGCAAAAATGTAGCGAGCCTGAAAATTTTCCTTTACAGCAGCTTGATAGTGTACATAGCACAATTGGAAAATGTTTGCGGAACGTGGAAATTCCCAGCCAATTGTGTTTAATTCGGCTGATCAAAAACGTGCATTTTCTCACCGCCCAATTACAACTACTGCAAATACACGATTTAGGTTTTAAATGTTTTTCGATAAAATCAGAAAGTTAGATTTTCAAAAAAGTGCAATTCTTCAAGTGTAAGAGTGGCTGACTTCCAAAACGTCAATTGCATTGCATACGTACAAAGTTTAATGTTCCATAACGCCGAACTACAATTGGTTGACAATGTACACTTTTCCAAAACCCTCCGAAAAGTTATCGAAACGCATTGCTAGCGCAATCAGCGCATCAGAAACAAAGTTGATGCTTCGTTTGTTATTGGTTACCATTGGTGTTTTAAAAATGCAAAATTCCGAAATGGTGATTATTGTTTTATTAAATATTCCAAATATGCAATGTATATGGTTGCAATGTTTCGCTACTCTGCATATGCAAAGAGTTTAAATACCGCAGTAGAACAGTATCCAAACATTGTATTGGTACGTTTTGGAAGTCAGCCTCTATTATATATTACAGAAAAGACTACTTTGGGGTTGAAACAAAATTGTCATTAAATGAACTTGATTATATCTTTTTTGATTTGAAGAAATCGAAAGAAAGAAATAAAGGACGGTTTCCCCAAAGATTTGGGAGCACAACCTTCGCTGAATACTCAACCAATACTGTTTTGTATGACTGAGCACCGCATTGACTTTATAATATCGATACTTAAAATAAAGCAGTGCATGAATGATCACCACCGCGAAGCATGCGGTGCTTGCAAACATCGCCACTGCAAGTGAACGATCATTTTAAAAGCACATACTAACATTGACTTCGGCAAACCGGTGTTCAGAATGATCGTGCACGAAACCAGCAACCACTGCATTTGACCGACTGTCGAAAGCATGACATCGCATTTGAACGGTTGTCGAAGGCAAGATACCGCAGTTGATTTGTTGCTGAATTCATAACACCGCATTTGATTTGTGGCTGAAAGTACTGTAACGAAGCCTTTTGCTGCCCTTCTTCTACAACGAAGGGGTATACTCGCCGTGCCCAGGGTTCGTTACAATAAATTTGTAGTTTCGGGGCTCCGGTAAATCGTACTTTGTTAACTTAATCTCTTATTTTCTACAAAGAACATATAACAAAAATCACAATGATCACTTCCGGTAGTTTCGTTTCCAGTGGCTGGGTAACGGCTCCGTGTTCCGTTACCGGCCCGTTATGCCGTGGAGGCGTGACTTCACAATTGGTGGGCAGCGCTCTGCTAACGGCGATGAGTGGCGTTCTGGGTTCGTCGGTAAGTGGCGTTCTGGTGGCGCTGGAGAGTAGCGCTATGATGTCGCTGGCAAGTGGCGCTCTGTTCACGCGGAGTGGCGTTCTAGCACGTCGGCGAGTAGCGCTTTGTTCGCGCCGATGAGTGGCACTCTAGCAACGTCGGTATGTACAGCTCTTTTCGCGCCGATGAGAGCGCTCTGCTAACGTCGGAGAGTAACGCTCGAGTCGCGCTGATGAATAGCGCTCTGTTCGCGCCGATGAGTGGCGACCTAGCAATGTCGGTGAGTAGAGCTCTGTCCACGCCGATGAGTGGCGCTATGGCAACGTCGGAGAGTAGCGCTCGGGTCGCGCCGATGAATAGCGCTCTTCTAACGTCGGAGAGTAGCGCCCTGGTCGCGCTGTCGACGTCGTTCTGTTGACGGAGGTGCGATCGCGAGTCGCCCGTACGCGGTTTCACGATAGGCTGTGGTGAGAGCGTGTATAGCCTGTGGCGCTGCCGCTGTGAAAGGTGAAGTCCAGCCCGGCAATCAAGCCGGCGCAGAAGAAATCACCCTTACCAGCAGCTGTTTCAGAAATCAGTTCTTGCCAATAGCCGTCTGTTCATGACCACAGTCTCGTGCTGACTGCCCAGTATTACCGTTGTTCGACTAAAGTGTCAAATTGGCACTTTTTGGAGATCGGTGCCCCCTGACACCGACTTTTTTAAAATAGGCTTATTTTCAAACTTTTCCTAAAAATCGTGCGGCTTTTGGCCCTTTCTTTGATTTAAAATTCTATATACACACTTTGGCAATTCCTTCATAAATTATATTTTTCTTACGTGTTTAAAAATGCTTTTAGTACTTACTTTTCAAAGGCACTTAAAAATTACACCTCTGGCAAGATTTTGACTGATTTCAACTTTTTTATCAACATTTTTTTGTCAAACATTTTCAGAATAAATGTCTAGAAGTAGCATGGATTAATGCACCATTTTTTGTAGCTTACCCCCCTATTATGAATCCATACGATACAGTATAAACGCTTGCATTCTGTTGTGCCGTATTACGAATTAAATTCTAGCGTATGAAATTCGATAGCTACGGTTTATCGTATAGCGTTGAATTTTGGTATTGCCATACGATAGCTATCGTATCAGCTGTTCAATTCCATACGCTTGCAAGCGGTTGTCCATTTTTACACGATACGATACAATTTAACAAAAATAAAATAATGTAAGTATTAAAATGAATAACATGAACAAAATATTGAAATTTTTCAGGCCGAAAATTGCTAGAACAAAACATCGAGTTGAGCGTATTGCTTCTCCGAGGGGTACGGTTTAGGTATTTGTACAATGATTTTGGATTGTTGTGCCAAACTCGTGACCCGAATCTAGAAACTTTAATATAAACATGTAGCCAAAGGATCAAACTTTTAATTTAATACAAAGATTTCGAATTACCGAGCACTAGTTTATTGATAATTCGTACTTCAAGCATTTTTTTTTAACACAATAGAAACCGTAGATTGGGCTAATCTAAGTAACGCCTTATTGCCAACACTCTGTTGGTATGATCCCTGAGCAAGAAATCTCACAGTTATGAAAGCCTTTAATATACTTGGGAGGACGACTTTGTTTACGTGCGCGCAAGTCGATCTCCACTTCTGTTAGAACATACATACATATGTACAGTGACGAGCAAAACTGTAACATGGTGTAACACTTTTTACTTCAGCCATCGCTATCTTTCCAAGTTCTAACGACTTTCATACTTTTGTTGTATATTCTTGTTGGTACATCCTTACTCCCTCTCTCATAACGATTTGAAATCAATACAACAACAATAAAAAACCGGCAGACAAAAATGTAAATTAAGGCAGATGTTACAGTTTTGCACTCACTCTCAGTTTTCCATTTGACAGTTATCTCTTACTTAGTTGGAAGTCAGATGACTTTTTTCTGTATTGTAATTTATTGAAGAAGTGATCACCAGTAAATAATATATTTAATCAGGAACCATAAATGTAAATAATAGATTTACTGCGGAAAGGCGGGACCGCTCAAAAAATTGTCGAATTTGCTACTTGAAAATGTTAAGATTGGGAAAAAAATATGGCCTAAAGTGTTCCCAAGGACAAAGGAAGTCTGTCAAAAAATATTACGGTCCGATATCTTGTGAACTTAGCAGCAAGTACCGATGCAGCCACTATTACAGAAGCGCTTAAGGTTACTTTAACTTTAACGCAAATCAATAGCGGCAGCGAGGCGAANAAACTCGTGACCCGAATCTAGAAACTTTAATATAAACATGTAGCCAAAGGATCAAACTTTTAATTTAATACAAAGATTTCGAATTACCGAGCACTAGTTTATTGATAATTCGTACTTCAAGCATTTTTTTTTAACACAATAGAAACCGTAGATTGGGCTAATCTAAGTAACGCCTTATTGCCAACACTCTGTTGGTATGATCCCTGAGCAAGAAATCTCACAGTTATGAAAGCCTTTAATATACTTGGGAGGACG